TAATGCGGGCCAAAATTTCGAAGATCACCGGCCGTTAGCCAATCAAAATCGAGGATCATCCGCGCATTTTTTGTGCGACACCTAGGTTTAATGACTAATCACAACATTCAAGGAAGATCAGCAAATCAAATGTCCGATAACTTATCTAAACTTTTTTGAAATGTAACGTTTAACAAAAATTCACTGTAAACACCATTGATAACTTTAGAGAAACAACATCGTTCATTCTGTAAAACTAAAAGACTTAATTAGAGGACAAATGTACCATCTTTGAAAATGCAAAATTACCAAATGTACAATAGGAGGCAATGACTGATTAATAGAAAATTAACCAGAATATTTTACTATTTACTTTTTATATCCTTATTACAAACTATTCAATTTGGTCAAATGTGAATTTATTTACAATGAAGCGTGGGAGGTGTGAATTTATTTACAATGAAATGTCTAGGTTTAATACTATACAAACTTCTTTATCATAGATATTGTAACGTGACTTATTCTAATCGTAAATAAGGTTATTGATTTATAGAAATTTGTAATTAAGAATTTAGCCAAGAAAATTAGATTATAATGATAGCAATGATATAGGCAATTGCTTATCTAACTTGATTTGTTTATTTTTTGTCCAACAATAACAAAGACGTTCGGGAATTTCTTTTAGAGCTTAAAAATTCCTAATTGTAAAATTAAAAGTTTTAATGCTAATATTAATCCTTTAATTTATATTATTTATATAATTTAGTCTATATTTCAAAGATATAAATTTTAGCATTTACAGTATATTAAAAATAAATACTTAAACTACGAGCTATATCTAATTTTTCCCAATTTAATTTAAAATGTGAAGCTGATGGATTCGATTTTTATTAGTGGTAATTACAGACGGCTAAATTTACTATGGTCAACAATAATTTCAAGCTTCAACTTATTTGGAAATTATACTTTCATTTCTATACAAATTAGCACATGTAATGTGTTGTGCTTTGAAATAAACAAAAATCAACGTGAATGTCATACACATGAATGCTATAAATTCATAATTTCGTTTTATATTAAGTTAATTGAATCCACTAATTTTTCAAAACAATCAATATTATAACTTTCTTAAAAAAATGAAAGTTACCTTGAAAATTGTTTTGACATCAATTCTAATTACTTTATCGTATGTTTGCTTTGAGTATTTAATAGGTACCATGGATTCACCTTGGAGAGTTCTATTACTATATACTGGACTCTGTAGTTATTCTTGCGTGAATTTAAATCTACGTATTAAAGAAATTTTCTATTTCTTGAAAAAGCATAAAGAAATAATTGTCGTATCAATTATAAGTGCCTTAACAGCTGTATATGATAAACATACCTTTGCTAGTGTCTCCATTACTGTCATAACTTTTAATATAACTTTTTCATTAATTTTTCATATCATTATAAAAGAAGATATCGAGATAAATTTATTAATAGTTCATTTTGTACCTATAATGTTATTAGTAATTTTATTTAAATCTACAGCAGAGTTTTTATTGCTTTCAAAGTCATTTAATGATACATTTTATATGAGTTTTTTTGAGTTATTTCTTATAATATTTATTTTATCATTGGTTTTATTCTGCGTTATATTTATTCGTTTGATAATGATAAAAACCATTTCATTACAAGCATTCAAATTTGAATTGATCTACTGGTTTCGTCTTGGAAAAATTTTATTCCAATTTATAGCATCAATTTGTATGTATTGCGGTGAACAACGTTCAGGATGGAGATGGTGTCATACTTGTGGAAAAAAATATTTTCAAAATAATTTTCAAAACTGGACAAGTGGAGATAATGCAATTGATGAATTAATTAGAAATTTTCAATTAAATGCTAAACACTATACTGATTATATTGAATGGATCCCTTATAATCGACTCAAAGATTTTGAATTTATTGGAGAAGGGGGTTATGGTGCTGTCTCTTCAGCTATTTGGCTTGATGGACCTTTAGTGTTAGTGGATACATTTGTCAGATTAGGGGAACGCAAAGTAGCTGTTAAAAGCATCAAAAATTTACCTTATGATTTATTTGATGAATTTAAAGTTTCTGAGATATTTAGAGAGGTACGTGACTGCTTATTAATATTTATATATTTCATGAATAATATGCTTACTATAATTTTATTTAGACAATTGCACTTACAGAATCTGCCATTTCGTGTAAAAACGACGCAGTAAATTTTGGTGTTCTTAAATGTTATGGATTAAGTAAGGATCCTAATACTAATTCTTATTTAATTATTACTGAGTTATGTAAATATGATCTTCGGAAGCAATTAGAGTTAAACTTTGGGAATTTAGATTGGTTTGAAAAATTGCGAATTCTAATGATGACTGCTAATGGATTAAAAACAATACATTCTGCTGGTCTTATTCATCGAGATCTTCACACAGGAAATATTCTAGTCGGTTTTGACAATTATATTTACATTTCAGATCTTGGATTGTCATGTTATAAAGACAAGGATGCGACAAATTCTGTAAACTTTGGTGTATTTGGAGTTTTACCATATATCGCACCAGAAGTTTTAAATGGAGATCTATATACTTCAGCATCAGACATATATAGCTTTGGAATTATTATGTGGGTTATTGCATATGAAGAACTACCTTTTTCTGATAAAATACATGATAGCATCAATTTGTATTTTGCGATTTGTGATGGAAAACGCCCACAAACTGTTAAAGACGTGTTTATACCTAAATGTTATAAAGAGTTAATGGAACATTGTTGGGATGATGATCCATCAAATAGGCCAGATGTTAATGAATTATATGAAGTCTTGAGAGGATGGTATCTTGCTGGAACAAATTCTAATCAATTTAAGGAAGCAAATAGTAGCAAAAGTAATATTAAAATAATAAATCCATCGAAACAACGGCCATGTTACAGTGATATATCAAGCAACTATACATCAACCAACTTTAAAACAGAATATATTCTAGGTAAGTTATATCTATTATATTAAATATTATATTAGTACTAGAATACTTACTATATTATTAACTTGAAAATTTTTATTTAGACATTAATACGGATTTTTGAAGAAAGAAAGCATATCTTTACAATACTCTGACCTTGTTAAACCTTTATAAGAATAAACATAGTTTAAAAAGGAAAAGTATAGGCAGAAGCTTTCTGCAAAAAGCGCCGATTCATAATGATCATGAAATATTTTTTAAATATAAATACTGCATTAAAATCATTATATTTAAATACCTTATTTTTTTTTTTGTTTAAAAAAAAAAAGAAGTATTAATAACATTCTTTACATAAATACTACTCGATTTATAGTTATGCATGGCATAATATTAAATGCATCGTGTGTGATTTAAAATTCTTAGATTAGATCCCTTGCAGGTCCATTTTATGGATGTTAAAATTCGAGCTAATTATGTGCTACAAATTAAGAGCTGAATGTGGATATTTAAAATTTTCACTATGTCAAATTCATTGTTGTTTATAATATATATAATAGATGTTCTAAATTTTCGGAACAAAATACGTACATATAGTGTAGCATGAAATTAACAACATATAAATAAAAAAACAAACTTGTCCTAATCTTTTATTTGTTATAATATTCATTGGTATCAGGACCAAGAAATATATATTACGTGTATTAAACAAATAGTGACTAATGCTACGCATGAATATGAAGTTTATTATTATTATTATTATTATTACGTAGAAGAAATCAAGGAAACAAAATATCCACCACACACATTAAACTTTTAATAAGCTCATTTGTACGGTAATAAAAATTAGAAGATACATGAAATTAGGAAAGTACATTTGAAAGAAACTTCATTAAAAAAAAATAAAATTATTTTGACGACCCTCATATAAACAATGGTGTGGTCGTGCTTCGTTGGTGAAATCAAAGGTCCCATGGTTTTTTTTAATGATTATAAGGGTCCTAAACAAAAAATTAACAAAAAAATTTACACTAAGGTTCTCGAAGACAATCTCGTGCCGTTTATTGCCGCCGTATGTTCGTTGGTTAGGTCGAATCTAATATTTCAGCATGACAATGCCCCTATACATAAGGTAACAACGTGGCTTGATTCAAAAAAAATTAATTATATGACTTGGCTAGCCCGATCACCTGACCTAAACCTGATTGAGAACCTCTGGAAGGTTGTAAAAGATGATATTCAAAATTGGGAGGACTTTTCAAGAGATGCGGATGAACTCAAAATAGCCATTAAAGAGGCATGGTCAAACTTGGATGCGTCAGTTCTTCGTGCTCTTGTAGAGTCAGTACAGCGAAGGATCGAAGAAATAGCTAGTGTGGAGGGCCAATCATCTAGATATTAAATAAAAAAAAAAAAAAACTTTATGTATATAGGGTAGAAATTTATTAAATAAAAATTTTTTATTTTAATAAAAATTCGGGCGTCACTTTTGCCGCCTACTGTACATTTCATTATAATCCGATTCCATTTTCACTAACTGCTAACAAACTTTAGTAGGAAATATTGGATCATTGTATAATTGAATTGATGTATTTAGAATAAAAGTAAATTGAAAATAATTAAGAGGTCCCTTCTATGAATCAACTAGGAATAGCAATCACCGGAAAACGCCATAATTATAATACCACTTAATCGTAATACACATGGTTCTCGATATAATGGAGGCCATGGTTCCAGTCCTTTTGCTCCGTTATATCAAAAGCTCCGTAATATCAAAATCTCACGATATACTCATATTTTGGTTCCATTATATTAAGCAATATCCGTTATATCGATGGTCCGTTATATCGAGAGTCACGTGTATTCAAATTGTAGGTTTCGAACAGACCTTTAAGTGAGAAGCCAATAAAATCAGTAATGCAGATCATTACCTTCATGTGACCAGATGACAAATATTTATACGATTCGATCACAAAATTTTGATTAATAAAAGATGAGTGAGTCTGAAGGTTTAAGACTTGACACGCTTCCGACAGAAGTTATAGTTGCGATATGTCAATACCTATCACTTTTTAGTAAATGTCAACTTTGTCAAGTTTGTTTGCGATTTCAATTAATAATTTATAATAACAATGAGTTTTGGCAACATCTCGACGTGTCACAATTCGGTGAAAATCTTACAAATCAACACTTGTTTACGATCCTACGAACGAGATGGAAATCCAAATTACAAAATCGATGGTTAGATATAAGCGGATGTCGGTTGATATCTTCTTCTGCATTAGAAAAATTAGCCGAAACATATTGTGATTTTCAAGGCATTCATTTGAATGTAGAACCTAGATTTGATATTTGGGAGGCTGCATGTAATTATGATGAATGGATCAAATCCCAATTTTATAAAAAATGCCCTACATTCACCAAGATGGGACGTCCGGGTTTATACCGACTGTGGCCGACGACAAGATCATCACCACAATGGCAAATTAGTAATAAATCCATTCAAATAGTTCTTCAAGGTTCATTTCAAACACTCAAATATCTTTCACTTGGGAAACAAAATCTAAACCGTGAAACTGCGACAACTATTGCATCTTGTAAGAATTTAACACAATTAGATTTGAATGGTACCAATTTAGATAATGCATCTCTTCAAGACATTCTATCACATACTAAACAGCTTGTTTCGCTCAAGCTGTTGGATTTGGAGTTGTCGGGTATGACTTTAATAATGATTTCACTCTTGAAAAATTTACGTCAATTACATTTCAGCGTAATCAACAAAGGGATAATTTCAGCAAAAGCGATCGCAGAAATGTTAAAATGTTTACGAAAATTAGATGACTTGAGAATGAACCAAATAATGATTGGTGATGTAGATCTGGTGATTACGGAGGGTTTGGCATGGATATCCTGTGATGAATTGGTTGAAGATGGCACAAAAATTCAACATAAATACGATTCCAATGGAGATAAGTTAATTCAACAGGACAGAGCGTTTATTCGTCACTTAGACCTTTCGCCAAAATTAGATATTTACCCGCGGTGCAGAGAACGATCGATGCTTATTGAGCATTATATCACGATTACCAATTCTTCTTTACGGTCCTTGGCTGTAAATCATCCATTTTTGGTTTCTTTTAGATTGGTCAATCCTTACGCAATCAGTGCTGAAGGAGTCGATGTACTACTTTCAGTACTTAATTGTCTAGAAATATTTGAATTGAGATGGCGTAGGTCAGAAGTTGACCCAATTCATAAATTAACTCCAAAGTTTTGTCCGAAGTTAAGGGAAATAACTTTACACGGGGTGGATGTTGCAGATTTTGATGCTTGGTTTGGTGTGCAAAAGGATTTAGAAATCGACCAATGTAAAAATAAAACTTTACTCGAAGAAGGGTGTTCAAGAATGACTTTTCAAAATCTGGAAATTATTGATTTGGATTCTACAGGGTTTACTAATAGTCATTTTAATATGTTGATTAAATATTGTGTGAAAGCTCGAAAGGTTAAACTGCGAACTAATATTGTTTACTCTCAGATTAGCGATAATAATAGAACAATCTCGAAAAGTGATTCTGGTTGGATCGATATTAAATAAATTGTATTACAGTATGTTAATATTATTTATGTTGTATATAATTATTATTTTCTTTTTAATTTGTAATATTGATAAAAATGTGCCTGCGAAAATATGCAATACATAAACATTAAACATTTAAGTGCCAGTAAAATGACGTATCAATGATCCTTACACCATCCGGTAGGCGAATCGGCCCGCAAAATTGTCACGGATGATCTGTGGCTGAACTATTATCACAATGATATCACGAAAACAAACAAATTGATAAAAATTCTCATTTTTTATTCTATAGACATATAGAATTAAGATCAAACAATTCCAGTCGAATTTGATTATGTGGTTGTCGTAATAATATCATTCGTGCTATATTAGATGTTAGAAATAGCTGCTATGATAAGAAGACGGCGTAGGGCCAGTATTCAATATAACATACATTAGGAAATATTAAATACATTTTGGCCCCTTATATTCCCTTTTAATCTTCCGAATTAACCGCTATTACAACTGGTTTTTTTAGTATTACGAACCTTATTTTTTTGGACATCTTTATAAACAAAATAAGTTCATTTACATAAAGCAAGGCTGAGAAAATTTCAATGTTCTCTCTTGGCATGATTATTTTCCCACACATATTTGTGACTAATTACCATATGTGTATTTGTTACATAACGGAAACCTGTTAGTACTAGTTTGGGAAAAACCCAAGATCTTTTCCGAAACTTAATATATAAGTAATGTAATCGATCATTAAAAGATACGCGTTATTCTCTTCTCTGTCATTTCTCATTCATTAATATATCTTATATATTCTGACCTAGAGCTTCGGAAGTATGTCTTCCCCTAGAAGTTTAACCTTTCTTCGGAGGTTTTATCTTTCTCCGGAGGTTTCGTCTTTCGTCTTTCGCGGGGGATTTCGTCTTTCGTCAGAGGTTTCACTTTTCTCCAGGGGGTTTCGTCTTTCGTCCCTCAACAACCTGAGGTTCAGTGCTTCCCCATTTACGAAAATGGTCTCGTCTAAAAACTATAATGCAGCACCAACAGTTTATGAGGTCGATAAAGATTATTGGTGCTTAAAAACTACAATTGACGATATTCGAGCAAAATATGGACTAGGAGGTGGCACTAGAATTAAAGACCCAAATCTTGATCAAAATTCTGACCTAGAACTAGAAAGTGATTTGACTGTTGCTGATATTAGAAGAATTGTAAAAATCCAACAATTATTGGAGAAGGCTGCACAAGATTTATCAATGTTGGTTTCTGCTTCACCTCGAGAAATCTTTAGCGATCCTGATAGCATAAAAGATGATGATGTTGCTGTTAAAGCCAATGTTAAAAAAACTATATGGTTAGCTGAGGATGATGATGTTTCTGGTAATGCTGAAGAAACAATTAAGAGTTTCAAAGAAAATAGAGTTGCTGGTAATGTTGATGTGAATGCCTATACTTTAGAAGACGGTAAAGATGAGAATCCTCCTGTTGGATTTCGACAAGATCTGTATCAATAATCTTGTTGGTGAGTTTCATAGTTATATTTTATATTTTTTAGTTAATTATATGCAGTGTTGGCCATTCTAGGTCATATCCAACTTTACATGACCAAAATAGTTATGACGTAATAAGTAATTTTACAAGTCATAATAGGTCATAATTTAGGGTTGGCATTTTGGAAAATTTCGCCTGCTTCAGTCCATTTTTCTATTGTTCCGTTGAGTGTTTAATATTAAACCTTACTAACTTATTATAAACATGTATATATTTAACTTTTTAGTCTATAATATATAACTTATATTTGATAATTACAAATTATTTAGATAAAAAAAAAAGAGCTTTATACGTCAGAAAAAATTTTTCATTTGCACAATTTCACGTAAATAATGATCTATTTTGCCAACACTAGTTATAGTGCCGCCAAAGGAAAACATGTCATCAGGGTTTCAAATTTAAGGGATTGCGTCTGGTAAATTATAAACTTGAACCCAATGACAAGTTTCCCTTGGTGGCAGGCTAAGTGGTCATAAGCCAACACTGTAAATCATATGCATATAACATACGTTATTAAATGTTTTTGCAAATTTACCTGTTTAGAGAATGAAGCATTATTTTGCCATTAACAGTTATTCATTGAATGATTGAATAATAAACCTCAGGATATATTTCATTCATTTATATCATCTGTAAATTTTATAGTGACAATATTTTTTGATAACAATTTCAAGATGTTTATAAAATGACATTTGAAATGTATTCGTTTTTCTTTTTTTTTTTTTCTCTCTCTCTCTCTGTAAATAGCTTCTTTTTGAACATTTTTATGAAATTTTTGGGTCATTTTTGATGATTGCAATTGTAATAAATAAGTTTTGAATTTATGGCTTTTCATTTATATGTTTTATGTAGTTTAAATATGCGATTGTTGTTATTAATAAAAGTGTTAAAACGCATTTGATATATTAGTTATATTGAAAACTTATTACAAAAGAATTCATTTTTAAAAGTATTTAAAAATGCACAAAAGCAGTTTTATTCAAAATAGCACATATTCTAAATTCACTAATCACTAAGCCATGCAGATCCATCTGTCTCCTTCACAATACGACAATTTTCGTTATCATCAAAATCATATTTAATATCTTGTACATTGCTGACAAGTGTATCAAATATGTGTTGGCTTTCACTAATAAGGAGATCATCATCTGTGTCGCATGTGTCGTCTTGAAAATTTTCAGGGTTAATCAATTTATTTTCAATAAATTTAAAAACCAAATCAATCACCGCATACGTTATATATTCGATAAGTTCGGATCCTAAATAATATAAAATGATATTGTCGAAACCAGTGAAACCGACCAATAATATTATTGAATGGACTTACCTGATGAAAAAGAGTGACATCCAAATCTTGTATCAATTATTTCTTCTCCTATCGGCAGATCTGACATGAGCCAATTACGACAGTGCTAAAAAATGTAAGATATTTAAATAATGATATTTAAATGTCGCGAAACAATTCAAAAAATCATTTAAAATTAATACCTCACGTATCCAAACTTTCATACGATCAGTCTTTACAAAGTCAATAGAATGAGCTGACACGGTAAACTCTATAGCTTTTACCCTCTCAGATAACTCATTAACTAAGGTCGAAACACACATTCTGATAAGAACCATCGAAACAACGCCATATATTCACATCATAAACAAAATAAATAAATAAGATGAATAGGGGTTCGTTTGACTTACAGTGGTTTTGCATAACATCAATGGCACAATGACCTCCATAACTGTTGGCAACGATGAAGATTTTTTGTGCCGCAGATGGTCTATGTGGAATAGGTGATTTAATATTCATAAGCTATCAATGAAAAAATCAAATTAAAACATACATTACGATATTCTCGAATACATAGCTAGTGTGAGCTTCCGGGGATTCACTACCTAAAAGTAGTGATACCAATGAAAATCACAAAATAAATTATTATTATTATTATTATTATTATTTTATTTTATTTTTATTTTTACCGTAAATCTCGAAATAACGAACATCTGCGTGTTATTTTGATCATCTGCAATTTTCCGAGCATGATTTTTACTATATAAATCTGCTGGTATATCATTTGAGGTGCGCATTATTTCAAAATCAACTATGATATTTTTAAAGGATCCAATTTCGAATAACACACACACACATTATTTCGTGATTTTACGGTAATTGAGAACAGCCATAACTTACCTGGAATCGTGTCAAACGGTGCAGTAGTTTTTGGCAGAATAAGCTGTATAATAAATATGACGCGATTCTATTTAAATATTTAAGTTCAATAAAATAATCTAATTTTTATAATATAATACATACCACACCTTTTCCCTTATACCAAAATACTTCATTGGGATTCAACATTACGATAGAAAACCCCAAGTCTAAGGCACGTTTTGCATAATTGATCATTGAACCATCCTTTATTATGAATTATTAATAAATAGATTAATAAAACAAGAAAATTTTAAAATTTAAGTCTGGACTCTTGAACGTACTATAACAGAAATATCTATGAGAGCTCTTCGCGACCAGATACCGACTCTGTAATTTAATTTAATTTAGACAAATTCAAACAAGTATATCAAAGAAAACCTATAATAAATTGTGGAATTGAATAATTTTTACTTACGAATGAGCAGTTCCAGGAATGAATATAATCATCTTATCATTGGTTTCATAATCTGGACTAAAAATTTTTATATTATTATTATAATAATTACTAATAACAAATATGTGATTCGACCCCATACGTTAGAAAAATTTTGGTATGTATATCATTTTCTGTAGCGCCAAGAGGTAATATCTTTTTTATAAAACCAAGATCTTTTTGAAGCTTTTCTTCGACCCAAGAGGCCAAAAGTTCTGTAAATTTATAAGAAGCTCAGACTAAACAAATTTCGCAATAAAGCATATAAAAATTCAAATAGTAACCAAAGGAAAGTACCCATTATAATATCGTACAAACGTTCATTATAAGCCCTGTCTTTTACCTCAAATTTATAAATTTCGCCGTCTATGGGAAGTAATGTTAAATCATTAGGGGTAGCTTAGTGCATTAATTCCAATTCTAATGTCTTTACCCTCTATAGATACAAGTTGATTTTTTTCATCAATTTTATATCCAAGTGCCTCTAAGTCGCGAGGAATATCACAAGGAACTTTCTTTGATTTTTTCTTTCTGAACATTTTATCAATTCAACGCGATAAAAGAAAAGATGTTATAAGAACACCTTTTTATTGTTGCCGAAATTGGTTTTCGTGACTGATCATATGAAATTCAACTAACTTATGATTGGTCGTATAGACTCTGTATACTACCGCAACATTTTAATAAATCAAACTAGGATATCATATGTTCGAATTTATATATGAATTCGGAACATTTTTTTACCCAACAGATAAAGCTTTTTTTTTTTTTTTAAGTTATCCCAGAAATGCTCTACTGTATTTTCAGTATTAGAGTTAATCTAGAGCTACTGTTTAAAAAGTTTATATATATGTTAATGTAATTTGATATTAATGATCGTTTGATTTATTAGTGCCTAAAAAGGATTTTAGGATTTTAATTAGCTATATAGTATTTTTTAGTACGTACCCACAGGCAGAGAAACTGTAATATTTACATTTTAAATACATTCGAGATTACAGGATTAAGAAAGTAAGCACAGGAATACACCTTATGGATCGGGAATGTACTGATCCATAGTGATGCAAGCCAAACGGCTAAGCCCAGCGTTTACCGTAACGACTTAAAAATTCGACTACGTAGTGATGCCCAAAAAATTTTACTTTTGTGTACCCTGAGCTTCTGGAACTCGATCCGACGAATTTGGATTCGGCCCTCGGATCGCACCTGCGAAGCATTAATATAAATACCGCTAACTAATATTGTAGCAAATTACGATCTGAGCAACTTTGCGTTTTTAATTTGGCCCGGAAGCTCGGTTACACGAAAAAGCAAAATTTTTTGGACATCGCTAACCTAATAAATTTTGTAAGTTGACATTAGTAAGCACGTGAACATACGTGTGTGCCTAGTTATACTCGGCTCAGATACCAGTCATTTCTACAAATCAGAGCTAAGCCATTTATAAGCCAAACAACTTCAAGCCAAGCCACTATTTCTATATATGGGATCTTTGCTATCAAAATGACCCTCCGAGGCTATGTTGATTTTGTGAATAAAAATTAAATTTGCCAGCCAT